AAACGGCTCCTTTAGGAGCCACCACATTTAAGAAAAAGTTATGACCAACTGAGTATTAAAACCGTCTTTGATAATCGAGTTTAACTTTTCGATAAATTTGGTTGTGGCCCCCACTAAAGTTTTCCCGATATAGGTCGCTTTATCGTCAGCTAAATTCGGTTTTATGAGTATATCGCTGCTATAAGGATGCATAAAGCGCGAAGTAATGTTACGCATCAATTTTTGAATGGGCGCCTGAACCTGTCCTTGTTTATTTGTGACAATTTTCCTACGCACAGTCCATGACAGATACACTAAGTACATAGCGATGTTAACCTTGTCACGCATCGCGTTCCTCGCCTAGCTTAAAAGAAAGAGAAACGGGGAGGTTTATCTCAAAACTGCCTCCTTTTATCGCTCTGAGCAACCATCGATCTCTGGAGAATATCTCCAGGCTAAGCAAAGTTATCATTCTTACCCTGTAGCTTCCAAAGATTTCTGTTTTTTGAAACTCCAAATTTGTCGAGTATCACATAGACCTTGCGGCATTTGTGCTCCGCTTTGAAGCATAAAAACAAGCGGCGAAGCCGCAAAAGACTTGGGACTAATGACTAACGCTTTAAGCGCAAACACGACCATTAGTTTCGCATGCTAGTTCTTGATCTTTTATGTTTTGAAAGTTGAGGTGCACTAAGAATGGGCTTAAGTGAATGTCTGACTCTACTACTGGGATTCTTTTTCAGGCCGTCTGAGTCTCGCAGCTCATCTAATAATCAATAGCATATATTTCTGTTAAAGATCCCGCCGCGTCGAGTACACTGGCCGCTAAGAAAAGCTTCAAAATCCGGAGATCTATTGTAGATCGATCATCATCCAGGTACTTACTGGTGATAATTAAAGAAAAAAAATTTGGTTCTTCAAAGTTATTATTCTAATGTGACACTTTGCTATACACTTTGAACAATACTCCTTGCTTCCCTACCCGTCCTATCTATGACTCATGTTTGCTGCGCTCTTTCATTTAATTTGTTACATTTTGTTTCGCCTGGTCAAGAAACAGTTCGCGCGGTCAGTTTAAAAACAGACCTTTTACACAAAGAAAACACTAACCCAATCCAAACCATCTTAGTCGATATTAAGGGAAACATTTTCATTTAAGCTCGTATTACGTTAATGATTGACTTTCTTAACATTTGGTGGCTCCTAAAAGAGCCGTTTGTTTTGGCGGGAAACCCACAAAGTGAGTTTACTTGCTGCTAGTGTATTTGGTCACAGCCTTGGTTCCTTCACTGACGGCGTGTTTTGCCAGTTCACCGGGCAGAAGCAGCCTGATGGCGGTCTGGATCTCGCGAGAGCTGATGGTCGACTTTTTGTTGTAGTGGGCAAGGCGGGAAGCTTCGGTGGCGATGCGCTCGAAGATGTCGTTAACGAACGAGTTCATGATGCCCATGGCTTTGCTGGAGATACCAGTGTCGGGGTGAACTTGCTTCAACACCTTGTAGATGTAGATAGCATAGCTTTCCCTTCTCTTTCCTCTCCTCTTCTTCTTTCCATCAGCAATGGCTTTAGCCTTTCCGGCTTTCTTCTCGCCTTTCTTTCCTGCAACCTTGGCTGGCATCTTGTTAAGTCACAAAAATTGAATAGATGTGTAGTGCAATGCGTCTTGTATTTATAAAAGAATCGTGAGAGGATCTATTAGCATACGGATCGAAATTCTCGATCAATGATTGGCCTGTTACGATATGCTAACCCCGGGGGTCAATTTGTATGTTATTCTTTCTTCAATCAGAAAATTACAATGATATTAAATCACGCGAAACTTAAAGTTGATTGGTGCTTTTCGATCCTTCCTGCATAATGAAC